CATAGTATACTTCCTTAAAACGGGGCGCTAAGCCCTCCCAGAGCGCGTAAAGTGTGTGGTCCACTGCTCTGCCTAAACGACTGACGCTCCCATAGGTCTGCCCTATCACGAAGGTAGGAAGCCCGAATCGGCAAGCCTCTCTCGGGTAAAGGGTCGAATGCGGTGGACCGTATACTAAGTGACTCCAACTTGTCCTGCCTCCAGAGCGTCTCGCCACTTGCTGATTAACGATCGCTGTGGCCAATAACTCGCGCTTCAACCAACTCCTGCTCGCTCCTGCTAGTGTTAGTCCTATCTCCAAATCGTACGCTCTGTCGGCTAGCAGATGTCCGACCCCTTCTAGATCATGAGTCCTTTCAGGTCGTTCGTCTCGTAGTATCACCGTCCAGAGGAACAGCCCCTCTGCGAGCCACGTCCCCAAGTGTCGTATCGGCACTCGCTCCGTCCCTTCCAATGCCACAGGAAGGGGTATGTCATATCCAATCGCCGTCTCTCTAGGTCCCACAAGCTTTCTCACATTATATGATTCGGACTCTCGTGAGAGAACATAGGCTAACCAGGCTACCGAGTCACTTCTCATCTCCTCTCCTGCTTTCGATCTGTAGTGCTCTAATCCCTCCGACGCACCCTATCTCTCGATGCTGCTGACTCTGCAGACAACTCTCCCACTCAGATCCAGTATGGCTGAGTAGGTGTTGTGCACTCTCTCGTCGGCTCCATGGTAGTAGACAGTGAACTCTACGTACTTCTGGCTCCTCCGTATCTTCAGGGCATGCTCCGTCATGAGTCTGACCTGTCGCTCAACATTTCCTAGCGCTTCATCCTCCCAACCTCCTGTCCTATCTTGTCGTAGGGAAAGAGTCACCCTCAGTATATCCCGGTCTGCCATACTCTCCACTACTCTCGGATATCAGTAGCTAACGCTCTCTCTCTACCGCCGTCCTAATGTGCTCCTCTGTTGCCTACGCCAGGACTGTTACTCCTATCCTGGGGAAATGAGCATCTGTAACGTCAATCTCCTCCTCGTCAATCTCGTTTTCCGGGTCAACCCAGTCCGGCCCCCAGACGTCCTCGTCGTCCTCTCGCTCCGATCCTTCGTCGTCAAACTCGTCCCCGACGCGGTATGGGGCCTGTCCTATACCTTGGTAGTATTGGGYCAACTGGTGGCCGTATATCAGAGGTCGCTCGGTGTTCTCACCCCACCAGCTCTCCCAGTCGTCTGAGAAAAGCCGCCCGATGCAGGTCACGTACTCGGGTTCTGCTCGGAGCTCACGGTCTAGCCAATCCTAAACGCACGGAGACTGGGGCCACTCGTCGTCTATCGAGCGGATCAGCTCTATAAGATGAACTCTCTCGTCTCCCCAACGAGGTCCTCCGGTAGCAAGTGAATAATAGATGTAGCTTAGGTCTGTAGTGCTCCTCGCAAGGATCTTGAGATCCTGATAGGCCAGGTATGTCTCCACTACTCCACCAATTCCTCCAAAGACGCTCTCCGCCACGAATGTCGGAACTATCGCTCTCAGGCTTCTAACGCTGTATGGGAAAAACCCGTCCCGTGCTACCACCAGCTCGCCCGAGATATCAAGAGGAGGACACCCGTGAAATAGGGTCAACGGGTCGCTCGAGTCCTCCGCTCGGAAGGCAGCTATCTCTTCCTCTAGGTAGCGTAGCGCGCTGCTAACCGTGCCACTAGTCCCTGTCGTCAAGAGACCCACTACAGTCTCCCTGATCGCATCCGGTCCTAAACACAAGTAGGCTCTCACTTCACCTACTCCTTGCGCCGGCCGGTGCTCCCTGTACGTCCAAAGCCATGCGTCCTCCGACAAGATTATGGACCTCCACGCAAACTGACCGTCAAAGTGTCGACTTCCGCGTCCAGGGATCGTGAGCTCGATTAGATCTCCTTCAATGAGTTCAGGGGTCTCCAAGTCCCAATCAATCGTGGCCCCATAGACCTCTTCTTGCACCTGCGGCCACATCCAACTGACGGCCTGTCACTTGCTTCACTCCTTCGGGGACTAGTTACGTTGTCCTACCTACGGCAATGCCCCTTTCGCTCCTTCTTTAGGCAATTCTTTGTATTTTTCAATTAAAAATTAARGAAAAATGTATCTAGCTAAGATAAAATCCCTCTCTTATTTTTCATACATCGTGGATAAACACATTTATAAGCCCACCGAGTTTGATGCTTTCTAAGGGTAGAAATATTTTTTTTTTGAGATTTTATAAAAAAATTTCGGCAGCGTTTCGCCTCCCCCCGTTGGGATCGGGTTCGGGACTATTGTCCCTAGGCAAACACTTCCTTCCTAGAACTAAAATCAAAAAGAGGAAGCCCGCTGAAAAATTAAATTTCTCGTATATTTTTAATTAATTTTTCTAATCGCTTTCAATATATATATATATATATAAAAAGAAATTAGTAATTTTGTTTAGGAATTCTCGTGAAGTCCCGGCAATGCTTTCGCTCCCCTCCCTGTTGGGGTATGGTTTGGCCGAAGACCTCAAAAGTAGCCGCCGCAGAAGTTCAGCAAAAGGTATAAAATAACAAAAGGGAAATATAATTATTAGAGTATTTTCTTTAATTATTTAAGATTTAATTGGATAAAATTTAACAATTTCCCGAAAACTTTCGGCAGCACTTCGTCTCCCCCCGTGGGGATGGGGTGCGGCCGAAGGCCTCAAAAATGTTTGCCGCAAAGTATAATAAAAAGGAAAGAATACCCCAAATGAATTTTAGATTTTCAAGTATTTCTTTCAATTAAATTAAAATTAATAAAACTTAGTAAATTTTCGAGAAATTTTGGCAGCACTTCGCATCCCCCCGTAGGGACGAGGTTCGGAGCTTCCGCCCCTAGCTCAACATCC